TCTCTTCATGTTGTCCCCCTTCCACCCAGCATACACACACAATACACATAAAAAATTGACAGTTTTAAAGTGTTAGGCTCATTGACCCCTTTGAGAATGTGATAACAGTGTATTCTTTCCTAAAATAAGATTGAGATGTAAGCATGGATATGGACACTTGTACACACAGATCTAAATATATACATAAAAACACTCAATATTTTGGATGAATCTTTAACATATTCTTGGACACACCCCCTACCTGTTCATGAACTTCTGGATTAGACAGTTAATACTTTCCATGGTTTTGAGATACCCAATCCCCATTTTCCTTGCAGTGGAAAAACGTACAAGGGCCAGGGGAGGAGGAAGCAGAGGAATATATACGAAGTCTGTCCAGAAAAGGTCCAGCCATTGTTAATAATATAATGAGAACAATTTATGTGACATCAGTGTAACCTGGCAAGCAAAGAGTGGATTGGAACGCACATGCCATTGTAGACTTGACTTTACTAGTCAGTGAGGTGGTAGATGCCATTGAGTGAGCATGTATACTATGTGGCTGTCCCATTCAAAATGAGCGAGTAGAGCAATGAGTCTGCGCCAACTTTTGCATTAAGCTTGAACATTCCTCTGCGGAAACTATTTGGGTGGTTCAGAAAGCTGCAGCTATGGGCAACTGGTGATTGGCAACTTCATCATGACAGCACACCCACTCATGCTTCATGTCTTGTGCAGAGTTTTTTGGCGAAACATGAAATCACCCAGGTAACTCAGCCCCCCTACAGCCCAGCTTTGGCACCCTGCAACTTCTGTTTTTCCCAAAACTAAAATCACCTTCGAAAGGGAAGAGATTTCAGATCATTGATGAGATTCAGGAAAATATGACGAAGCAGCTGATGACGATTGGGAGAGCTGTGTGAGGTCCCAAGGTTTCTATTTTGAAGGCGACTGAGGTATCATTGTCTTATGTACAATGTTTCTTGTATCTTGTATCTTCTTCAATAATTGTCTCTTATTTTTCATGTTACATAGGTGAATACCTTCTGGACAGACCTCGGATATAGAATTCCTTCATGGTCACTGTAATTCAATTCAGTTTTCTTGGGGATTTTCATATTTATGTGATATTTACCATGTGCCTATCTCTATTCCCACCCCATCCCTCATATATAATCTTTGTAAATATAAATTTACAATTTACAAAATGGTAAATAACATACTTATGTAGAGAAGAATAATCTAAGTTCTTCTAGACCTGTACACAGTAAATAAACAGACCTTTATATCTTGACCTCTTTAAATTCTGTTATTTTTTGTTTATTGTATCAAAATATTTTTTAAAAAGGGTAGTGGTTTAGGGTTTCTGAGTCTGTGAGAGGATTATATTCTGTGCTCTTCTTCACTTGTAGCCTTTTCTCCAAAATAATGCTGTCAAAACCTCAGTCACTCACATCTTAATGGGCTTTCCCTTGAAAACACAGATTTTTTTACACACCTTGAAAAGGCTACCGGTCATGTCTTCATTTTGTATCTAGTCTATGGTATATCTATATTTATGAAGCCTGGCATTCATTTGTTGGCTTGTTTTTGAAGCTGTTACAGCAAACAAACATTTACTGTCCATTTTACAATGATATGCAAAGTAACTTGATAATACTGAAATCATAGGCAATGCAATTTTAGACCATACTGGTTTCTGATTGGTGCCTTTCTTATCTGTAGTTCATTTTCTGAATGTGGAATATTGGGAATCATTATTTAAAAAAGGGTTGGCAAATTATGTCCTACAAATTGTCTTCCTGTTCTTATAAATAAAGTTTTATTGAAATATAACTGTACCCATTCAATTACTTACTACCTGTGGCTGATTTTGTGCCTCAAATGGCAGAACAGAGAGAGTATTTGTTACTAAGATTGTATGGCCCACAAAGCTGAAAATATTTACTACCTGACCCTTTACAGAAATTTTTGCCAGCTTTTGGTTTAGAAGATGTTGGAATTCTTTCTTTTTAAGGATGTTTGAAGGTTTTTTTCTTACCTTTTTAGTTATGGAATGGAAGGAATACACAAGACCATTTATCTCAACTTGACTTTGGGTTTACGCACTGAAAGCACAGAGGAACCTGTGTTTAAAAGGAAGACAACTGAACAAACCTACAGCTGTAGGTGGTGGAAATTTTGTAGTAGTTAAAACAAGGAACTAAGATTCCTTGCAAATGCCATTTGTCAGGTTTTACTCTTTGTGTTCAATATATACCGGTACAGAAAAAAACATACAGGTAGAGCAAGACTAGACTTCACAGCAGAATTGTATCTGATAGTTCTGTGTACTTGACTGCTTGGTGAATGAACATAGTGGATCTCTCAGGAAGGGTATCTGACCTCAAGATCAACATTATCTTGAGGGGGGATGAATTTCTCACATTCTGTTGAGGAAAGCCAGCCTGTTAGCATCCTGTTCATCAACAATTCCATAGTTAAATTATCATCTGGTTTTTAATATAACAGATTTTCCATCTAATAAATAAATGGAATGAAAATTTGAGTAATAAAGATTAGCATTGTTAACACAATGTGAGTTTTATTTTCACTTTAAGAAGGATAAGTATTTTTTCTTTCCCTAATAACATGAAAATTAGTCTGTAGATTGTTAGAAGACAAAAGATAGTGAAGACTGACTAATTGAGGGGAACATTTGTCTTTGATTTTTCTATTTTATGAAAACAGTGGTTTTTAAAAAATGTATAATACATGCACATAGTACATAATTTAAAAAGGCACAAAGGGGTGTTTAATGAAGAGTAGCTGCCCCTCATTTCTATTCCACAATTATTCATTTCTTCCTTTTAGAGGCAACCACATTACCAATTCTTTGGCATTTTTTTTTTTTTTGCCAGAAATAATCAATGTATTTATAAGCATATGCATACTCTTTTTTTATTCTGTTTCCATAAAAGGCGATATTGTCAGACATTATTACATCTTGCTTTTAAAATTTATCATGAATGCTATTCCATAACAATATATGTTAAACCACCTCATTCATTTTTTTTTAATAAGAAGCAGAGTTTGTTTGCCCTGTCTCCTGTTGGTTTTTTTTTACTTGTTTTCGGTGTGTTGCTGGTGTACAGAAATATGTTTTTTTCCTATGTAAACCTTATCTAGTGACCTCACATTCACCTGATAATTCTTCTAGTTTGTGTATTTATTGGATTTTCTATGTACATCTGAATTTCAGATTTCCAAGTGCTATCTTATTTTTTTTTCCTTTTTCATAGTATTTTGTTATTTTATGGATGCACTATGCTTGTAAATGGCTTGGAGGATATTTATTAGAATTTAAATTCTCTTTAAATTTTTAATTACCTTAGTTTCCCTTGTGATTGATTCTATTGTTTTTTCACTTTGGTTGCTCTTACTTGGTAGGTATTTCATAGATACCTGTTTGGTTATCTGTTCATGTTTACAAAGGACTAAGATGGTTGGTTATGGTAGCTGACGTCGGCTTCCTCTGTGTTTTGAGGTCTGTTTTTCCAAAATAACTTTTCTCCAAATGGAATTACTGATTGAGAGCTCTGTATGAGTTTAAGGGCCAGTAGCAGCAGCCAGTTAGGCTACGGACCTAACACTTATTCTGGGCCTCCAGTGCTTTGAAGACTTTTCTTTTAGTTTGTTTGTTTTTTTTTTTCCTTTCTCCTTAATCCCCCCACCTCTCCTGCCTCCATTTGTTTATGTTTGGAACAACCTCAGGCTCAGCCCTACTTCTCTTTCACCCCCATGCTGAATGCTCTTCTCCACAGATATGGATGCTAGGCCTGGGGAACCAAAGGCTATACAGGAAGTGAGACTGTCATGAGTGGCTCTGCTCTTTTGTGAGCAGTCCTTTAATTATCTTGGTTTCCCTTAATTAACCTTACTTTCCTGGGTTTGGTGTTTTCTGTTTAGGAGGCAGTGACAGCTCTTGCTTCCTTATAGTCCTTGCCTATGCTTGTTTTGATTGGGTTGTTATTTCTTCTGCTATGGCTTTTCTATCCAATTAATCTCATCTGTTTCCATTAGAAATTCTTCTCTCCCCTCCCTGCTTGTTGATGGGCTCTTTCTTATTTTTTGATTGTCATGAATTTATTCTTATAATTATGAAAAATTTGAACATAAACCACATGTATCTACTTCAGAGCTTAAATAAAACATAAATGTAATTGAAACTCCTTATTCTTTTCTCCGATTCTATTGCAAACCCTCTCATGCATCTATTAATATTGTGTGTATTTCTAAACAATAAAGAACAGTGTTTTGAATATGTTTGAACTTTGCATAGTGACATACTGCATGAATCCTTCTGCATCTTGTTTTTTTCCACTTATCATGGTTCTTTTGTTTATTCATTGTCTTAGCATACTATCTTTTCTGTTATTGCGGTGGAATTTGGGTAAAGAGGGTAAGTCAGCCCATGTGTTTCTAGTATGGCTTTTTTTAAAAGGGAGATTGAAGCACCTTTTGGATATGTCACTATAGACACGTAGGAGAAGGGACGTGGTGTACCTCTTCTTGTTTCAACTGATGATGGGCGAATATGACACCTCACTGTGTCATACAAGCCAGGCAATTGAGTCTTGCTGCTGACCTCTATTTGGTGTTATAAATCCTTTTGGAGACAGAGAGACACCATTCATTCGTTTTAGGGTTTAACTGAGGTTTAAATGAGGATATGAGTTCCTATTGCTGGAAGGGCTTTTAAAGGCCATTTAGCACAAGCTATACTAACGAAACGCAAGCCCAGAAAAGGTGAGTGACTTCTCTGAGGTGATCCAGGGAAAAACCCAGGGATTGGAATCTGTGGTTACAGTTCCTTCTTTTCCACCCTACTGCAGTAAACCAGAGGTTAAAGGCTCCTTTTTGTTAATACTGAACTTGATTTTTGCCTGTCCTTTAAAATATTAATTTGAATACCAAGAGATTTTATACATAGAATCAATGTAAATCTTTAAATTGATGTTTACTTGTTGTGTTTTCCTTAGGATCAGAATGGTTTCAATCCCAGAATACTATGAAGGCAAGAACATTCTCCTTACTGGAGCTACTGGTTTCCTAGGGAAAGTACTTCTGGAAAAGTTGCTGCGGTCTTGTCCTAAGGTGAATTTAGTGTATGTTTTGGTGAGGCAGAAAGCTGGTCAGACACCCCAAGAGCGAGTAGAAGAAGTCATTAGTTGCAAGGTAAGTGTGGAAAATAATTATGTGTGGTGTTTGTGTGTATATTTCTTCAGTATCCTGAAGAAAATTAATAAAATGTACCCTAGAGAATGGCAGTAAACTGGATGTGACTTGTGATCAGTAGGAGGAAAAAAGTTTTCCCTATGATGGGCAGAATTTTGTAACAAGTTCTAAATTTCTTTCATGGTAGATATTTAACTTTTTTTAGACAATTTGAGGCAGGTTATTTATGATTACTAGATAGTTTAAGTAGACTTCAGAATGTAATAATAATTAAGAGGTAGTTTCTGATGACCTCCTGTGCTGCAAGACACTGTGCTTTCATAACATTAAAAATTGGTAAGTCCTCATTGCTCCCTAGAGCAGTATTAGGGTGTAGCAAAGTCACCTATTCCCATTTGACAAATACCACAATGACAGAGAGGTCAAATATAATATAAGAATATGTCATACATTTTGAAACTTTAGAAAAATATAGGAGTATGCAAAAGTAGGTTTACAGTAGTGAGTACATGAAACAGTTTATTCTTGTATTATTTATTAATTATATTATTTTCCATACAAATAACTGCAAACCTACTTTTGCTTACTCCTCTATTGCTAAGAAAAAATGGAAATGAGCTGGAGTAAAGTTATTTTACAATCATAAGCTTTTGAATTCTCTCAAAATGAATTAATTTATCTGACATTGATTCATAGTAAATTTAGGTAGTTAGCTATGTAATGTTTTAGTTATCGGGTAGGTATGGGGTACCTTTTAACCTTCTATGACTTCTGTTTAAAAAACAAAAACAATACCAGAGACCTCCTAATCACTCTTGAGTTAAAGGTTACTGAAAAGTGGCAAAAGATACAATGATTAATTATAGAGTTACAACTCTTCAGAGTTAAAAAATAAATAATTTATTTGACAAGATTTGTTTTCCAGTATGTTTTGGTCTTTTAGTAGAAATCCACAAAGCAGTTAATAGTGACTAACATTTATTGAATAATTATGTCAGGAGCTGTGTGTAAAGCACCTCATACGTATTTAATTATTACAATAACTCTAAGGTAATTCTGGTGTTATTCCCATTTATAAGGTCATATAGTTAGTGTTTGGGCCAATGTCTGAACTCTGGCAGATGTTGATAGATCCCATTTTACAAATACGGACAAGTCTCAGAGGTTATAATTTTATCTGAAGTTATGTAGCTTACAAATGTTGGAGATAAGGCAGATGACTTGGTAACAAATCTCTATTATTTTTCCATTGTAGAACATTATTTCTCCAAGGGATAAGAAAATAAAGGAAAGATGATGGAAGGCTTTGTGGTACAATGGGAGAAGTAGCCTTTAGAGTTGTATAGTTTACTAGTTACAAGAGTTGTAGCTGGTACACTGAGTGAAGGTAGCTTAATTTCCCAAAGCTAATGGCAGTTGATGCCCAAATTGACAAAATTGAGAAGAGAAGATGACAGAGAGCAGAAAAGAAGAGTGTGAAGGGCAGAGAATAACAGAGGTAACAAACAGCAGGAAGAAGAGTCAGGTTATGGGTTAGGGCAATAATGGGAAACATATCTCCTAAAAATGATAAAGTATGATAATGGAAGAACAGTTATGAGAAAAAGAGAAAAAAATACTCAGACCTGGAAAGAAGTTTGGAGGTGTTTAAATATAACTTTCTAATTGTCCTAATGTCACAGCATTATAATAAAATATAATAAATTATAATAAAATATAAAAATATTAACATGGTGACTTTGAATTAAAAGGTTAAACTATATTTAGGATATTTACTGAGGTATTTATTGTTTGGGAATGATTTCCATTCAAATATAACTTCAGTTCAGAAAGATAAACTTCACTCTATGTTTAGAGCATCCATGTTTTTCCTGCTTATATTCCCCTGCCCCCTCCCCATAAAGAGGTAGTTTTAGACCCACATGGTTTTAGCAGTGAAGTATAAAAATAAATTATTCGATACTATTAATAATGAGTTAAAGAATAAAAATATTTACCTGTGTCTCTATTCTTTATTAACTTAGTTTGTCCCCACATGAAAACTTTAAATAATTCTTACTTCTGGAAAAACTAATTTTCTCTGAATTATTTAAAAAAATATTCTACTTTTTTGAGTTACTCAGTAAAAGTATAACTCAAATAGCTACTAACACGTTTGTAACATTCTTCCCCATTGCCCCAAACTCTCATGTACTTGTGTGCCTCCCTCCCGCCACAAAGATATGGAGCCCTGCTATATTCTAGGGGCTGTTCAGGTTACCAGAGATATAGCAGTGAACAAAATAAAAGTCCCAGCATTCAGGGAATTTTCATTCTAGTTAGGGAGACAAGTTAACAATTATATAACATGTTGAATTGTGATATATGCTATGCAGAAAAGGAAAGCAGATAAAAGAAAGCAGATAAAGGGGCTAGAAAGTGATAGAGATGCTACTTTAGATTCGATGATCAGAAACGTTCTCCGAGATGACATTTGGGCAGAGATCTGAATGAAGTGAGGAAGAATCCTTGTGGGAATATGGAGGAAGATTGTTCAAAGCAGAGGAAATGGCAAGGGACAAAGCCTTGAGATGGGAACTGCTTGATAGGTGGAAAGAGTGTCAGGACAAGCTCTGATTTTTATTTTACTGGGAGCTGAATAAAGCACGTAAAGTAACTATTAAGTGCTAGAGTATTCTGTACCAACACTCCTCTGCAGAGCTCTCTGCCTCCTAAAATACAATAAAATCACTAGTTTATTATTCTTTCAAATTTTTGCTAGTTTGACCTGAGAAAGAGGGCTTCACACAAATAAAAATTTATACTTAACATGTGAGAAAAGTGTCGCTTGTATTAACTTTAAACTCAAAGAATGATCACATGAAGTTTCTATTTATTTTTAAAAGATGGGAGTTAATATTTCAATATTACCAACATAAGTAAAATAACTATGTTAGAAGAATTTGCCATCTTAAAGTATGGTAGGTGCAAAGTTCATTTTCAGTTTTTCCCCCAAGAAGTGAGAAGATAGACTGAGCTCTGTTCCCTGTGATTTAAAAATGAAAACCATTTGGTAAACTAGTGTAGGGACATGTTTTAAAAACATGATATAATTTCTAGCTTATTTTCCAGAGATTTTAATTGTAACTCTTGAGAAAATTATTTGAATTAGTAGATTGACTACAGCATGACACAGATTGATATCACTACATTATGACTACTTTTTTATACCTGCCAAATAGGTTGAAAGATCCTGTTTATTTCCTGAGGACAGTGCGATTCTCAAACTTTAGGTTTCTGGACCCCTTAACACTCTTCAGTTATCAGGGACTTTAAAGAGGTTTTGTTTTGTGAGGTTTTGCTTCAAATATCTTCTTGATATTTATCATAGTAGAAATAAAAAACAGTAATTTTTAAAGTAGAGAATATACGAGAAATTTTTAAAGTAAAGAATATACATTCCATTAGCTGTCAGAGTGATGTTGTCATCACACATACAGCCTTTGGAAAATTCCTGTCTACACTTGTGAGAGAAGGAAAGTGAAAAATGCAGATAATGTCTTAGTGTTAGTATGAAAATAGTTTTGACCTTGTGAACTACCTAAAATAGTCTTGGAGACTCCTAGGACCCTTAGACCACACTTGAGAACTGCTGCTGAGTAACAGTGTACAGTGTTGTGTAGACCATTTGGGGACAGCCTGCTGGCACATTTTTATGGATATACCTGGTTGGGGCAAATGTTCATATTTTAAGGTATGATTGGACTTTTACAGACATTCAAAATTAATTTGAACCTGAGCTTGGCAGTAAAGATTCAGAGAATGAAGTTGGGGTCAGAAACAAAAGTTATTAGAATGCTTTAAGCTCAGATTTGGTACGCGTGAGGAATCTAACTCTGTAGGTATATCCCCAGAAGGAGTTTTGATTACAGTATTTATTCTTATTCATTTTTTATTTTTCAGAAAACATTTATTGTGCCTACTTAGTGCTAGGCAGTTGACTTGATTCAAGGGGTTTACTTTGGGGATACATGAGATAAAGACCCTACTTTAATGGAGCCTATAGTGGAGAGAGTTCTTAAGAGGAAAGAGGAAAGGTAAAGGTGTCAAGTGAGATTGGATAGGAGCAGTTATTGAAGCTGATGTCTTGGTTGAAAGTGAGGACCTGAGTATAATGTGAAATATTTGGGCCTCCTCTCTGGGGTCTCCAGTGCAGTGCTTCTAAAACTTTTTCTCCACAGTGATTTGTAAAGAAAGTATCTTCTACTTAAAGCTTATAATTTTACTGAACTTTTTTGGTTTAACCTAAACATACGGACATTATATTCAACATAAAAATGCATTGTTCCAAAATATTTGTCTAAATATTTCCCTAGAATACTCCATAAATTATATCATTTTTCTTATGTTTTTTAATTCCTGCTTAGTACATCCTGCCACTTAATGCTAGGGCCACCTATTCTCGATTATGTGTTGCATTACTGCTGAATCACTAAAATGAATCCTTTTTATGTCAGGTAGCAGTGAATGTACACTTAAAGTTAGTAAGAAACTTTTAGGGAAGCCTGTAATGATTTTGACACAGGAATAAAGAGCAGGGGCAAAGAGTATATACCATAGTGGGACATTGTCTTATGGTAGAGTTTCTCAGTTTCAGGACTAGTGACATTTTGAGCCAGAAACTCCTTTGTTATGGGAAGCTGTCCTGTGCTTTGTAGGGTGACAACACCATTCCTGGCATCTACCCACTAGATGCCAGCTTTTTCCTTCCCTCACCCTCCCAGTTGTGACAACCAAAAATGTCTGCAGACCCAAGTATTCCCTGGAAGCAAAAATTGCACCAAGTTGAGAACTACTGATTATAAGAATGTCTCGGGGAAAAGAAACTCCATTGGATGGTGAGGATTAAATTAGAATAGTTGACCATGAAATAAATTCTGGAAGGGGAATAAAGTGTATAAAAGAGGGTAATAGTGAACTTAATAAAGTAAGGACTAATTGGGGTACCATTGGGGAAAAGTGGTATTGGATAAAGAGATAGTGGCTAGAAAAGGGAAGAGTATCAAGTTTGTGATGTAACTTGTGGATCAGCATGATCATGTCTTGGTGGAGATACCTGATAGGGAGGGGAATTTAAGGTCATTGGCAATCTGAGAGAATGAAAAAAATGAAATAAAATATTCAAGGTGTTAAAAGTACTTCTCTGGTCATTCCTCAGGTTCTTTTTTCTCTGCTTAACTCCTTAAATACTGATATTCTTCAAAGTTTGGTTCTAGGTCTTGATTTCTTCAAAGTAGTTCCAGTTAGGTGATTACTGAGCACTGTTTTATGTTAGATGGTTGTGTTTTAAATTGGATTTGGAAAAAGCTTTATACAGTCTGGACCTTGAGTACCTATCACTGCTGTTCCCAGGGCTACCTGTGTGTGGTGAGTAAAATCTTTATCCGTCTGGCTCTCTCTTCCGTTAACTGCAGACCAACAGAGCCAGTTACCTTTGCTAGACCTGTCTTCTGGGGATAGGCACTTCATGCTCAACATTCACAAAACAGTTTTTGAAAAAACCTTCAAAAACTTGAATCTTTGTAACTGTACTTCTTTTACTTCCAGTATTTTCCACCTAGTGAATTTATTTCCTTAACAGCTGTCTTATGTCTTGCCAAACACTCTGTTGAGGGCCTGTGTGCTAATAAGCAAATAGATATTGTCCCACTCCTCATGGAGTTTACATTCCTTATCCCTCATATCCAGTCATTGGCCAAGCCTAGTGAATTATTTTTAATTTCTCAAATATATCAATCCTCTCTCACTTCTAAGTGGTTATACATAGTACTTTCTCTGCCAGGAACACTAATCTTCTATACAGTCTCAGGTCTTTACCAAGCTGCATTAGTGGTTTCTCCTGGGCAGTCCCATAGCACTGCCCAGTTACACTGTATTTTACAGTTTGTAAAATGTAAAATACAGCTACATTGTATTTTAATTGCTTATTTACTTGTCTAGTTTTACCTTGTAAATTAAAGTCTGGATTTTAGAAATCTGAATGAGCATTTTAAACACCGTCCTGATAGTTGTACTGCTTCAGTCTATTCTGAGGGATAATATAATATAATATCAACAAAGGAGTGGACAGTTCATATTTATCTCTATAAACTACCAGCTCTGTATCTTGAGCAAGTTGTTTAACCTCCCTGATTCCTCATTTATGAAATGGGGAAAGTAACATGGGCCTCATAGTGTGTTTTCAGTACAGAATGATTAACAGTTAAGAATAGCAACATCAGGATTTGCATAGTTGAAATGTTAAAACTAAAAGGGAGGTGATAATGGGTTTTAGAAAGTTCAGAAATACTGCCCTAAGCTGTTTCTTCCTCTTTGATAGCTCTTTGACAGATTGAGAGATGAAAATCCAGAATTTAGGGAGAAAATTGTAGCAATCAGCAGTGAACTTACCCAACCTCAACTGGCTCTCAGTGAAGAAGATAAAGAGATCATCATAGACTCCACCAATATTATATTCCACTGTGCAGCTACAGTAAGGTTTAATGAAAATTTAAGGTAAGTAAAGGTATTTCTCTGATATTTGAACTTCAGCATGGTTAAAAGATCTAATTTGAATTCTACTTTTCAGTCAGGTTGTTTTGATAGTGATTTGAAACTTGTAGCTTTTCAGTGTCCTACATAGTAAGAAAAGGATTTCCTTTCTCTTGTTATCAGTTTAAAGACATTGGATAACTAGTGTATATTTATTAGAAGAAGTTGCCATGCATGTAATTATGGGACAGGGGAAAGGCAAAAAAATGGGACTTATGGAGTAGAAGAAAGAAAAGTTCACCTTAGGTCTGAGTTTTAGTCTTAACAGCTAATAGTGTTTGTTTCCTCTCCCCTCCATTCTTTCAGCAGCTTTATTTTTCTACTCCACATATATCCATCTGAAAATTTCTAAAATTAGGCTCAGGTTTGCAGAGTTAGACAAAACAGCTTATAAATTTAAGCCATACCTTGTTTTTGTTTTAAAACTTTGTTAGCAGTGTTAGGGGTAAGGTACATTGGACGTAATTTTAATTTAAAAAATGATTTGAACTTCCTTCAAGATACCTGTTTCCAAAAAAAGAAAAAAAAGCATTCTAAATGTTTACTATTTTGAGAAAATTTAACAAATATGCATTTCAAATAATGATGTTTAATTCAGAGCATTCTTTTTGGTGGTATGTCAAAAAATAGTGTTACAATGTTAATCTAATCGTATGGTCTTATGCCAGTTAAATTGGTGCAGACTTCATTAGGTTTCACAGTTATTTGAAGGCCTTTTTCTTAAAATGCTTTTCAATTAAATTCTGATTAATTAAATTGAGATTATCCCCAATATTGTTTTTAATATAGAAGTATAAACCTTGACATTATATAATGTGACAGTTCAAATGCCAAAGCATTATGATGTGTTTTGCCTATATTCCAGGTGAGGGTGCTATAAAATAGTCGGTTACATTTCTGTAATAGTGCTTTATAGTTTTTAGGTTATTTGGTATTTTCTCATCCTCTATTTTATTCCACGCAGTTACCCACCATAATAGTCTAGGCAAATCTGTATTATATTTGAGGAAGCTGAGGCAGCACTGTATATTGGAAAGGTGGTGAGCTTTGGAATCACATACCTTAATTCTAATCTTAACTTTATTATCTAGTGATAATAATTTATTATTTACTTTTTCTTTTTATGTAGCTATTATGTGTTCATGATTGAAAATTGACAAAAGAATCTTCTTATAAGAACTATTGTATAATCATATTTTCATAAAATGTGTGTGTCTCTGTATTTATAGACATATCTTTCGATATTTGCCAATTATCTTTGGATAGTGTAATTACAGGTAGGTTTTTAGTATGAAATAGTCAAAAGGTGTTTCCCCCCCACAGTGCTAGCTTTTATGATTTTTTAATTAATTTTTTTCATAACCAAAAGAAAAGAGGTCACACAGCCTTTAGAAATTATTTTCAAGAAAAAAGTATATAGATACTAGATACTTGTGGTGTGTATAGTCTACATTGGAACAGACAACATTAATTAGAGGGAAACTCCTCAAACTAGCTTTTATGAGAAGGACCGAAGTATAGTGCTTTCAGGGTACCTTCTTCTCTTTTTCTGTTCCCCTGGGGTAAGCAAGGCTACCGTTAATTAAAGGGGAATCTTTTCATGATTATTCTTTCTTCTTTTACTAGAGATACCATAGAGGATGGGGTAGGCAAGTGAACAAGAAAATTTATTGTTCTCTCTTCCTTGTCAAAGCATGTATGTTTGCTGACTGATGTGTCATCATTGAAATTATTGTTTCCTGTGAAGCAGTTGTAATGGTGATACTACAGCATTAGATTTGTGCTAGGCATTGTAAAATACTGTAGATTGGCTTGTGATAACTACTTATAAAAGTTAGTCTTTATAACTGCTTTTTAAGTTAACCCACAAATAAAAAATGGCTCATTATACCCAATATTTTGGGAAAAACCAAGATAAATTGCCCACAGATTTCTATTTGCAAAGTCCACACAGCCTAATAGAGGAGATATATTAGGATAGAAAATAAGGAGTTACTGAAAAGTAACATTTTTAGCAAGAGCCTTGGATGTGGTTTAAATTGCAAGTGTGTGAGTCCCCTACCCTAAAATTAATTGGTGCCTAGACATCTGTGTCTATATCTTCATTAAGTTTTTAAAAATGAGCAATTATTGATGAAGTCTTATCTAGGTAGCACTTTCTCAGAGGTGGGGAAGAGGGGAAGGAGAGATCAGAATGGCCTGGGGAACTTACTTAAAATGCAGTTTCACAGGCTTCACCTCAGACTTTAAAAAGGGCCTGAGGATGAGTTCCAACAATCTGCATTTTTAATAAGCTCTCAGGTGTCTGTCCTGCAAAGTGTGAGATCTCTGGTTTAAAAGTCTTGGAAGTATTGTCGACATAGATTTTGAACAACCCAGCATGTCTATAGAAGACAGATGAACAAGAAAATTTACTAGCTGCTCAAATTTCCTACCCCTCCTCACCCCTTCTCCTCCCCCACCCCTCCCTCTCCCCATTTCCTTCCTTCCCTTCCCCTCTCCTCCCCATTTTTCCCCTCTCCCTGCTCCTCCCCATTTCCCACCCCCTCCCCTCTTTCCATTCTCTCCTCCCTCCCTCATTTATTTATAGAGAGAGAGGAAGGGAGGGAGACAGAGAGGGAGAGAAACAACAATGTGTGGTTGCCTCTCACCCCCCCCCCCCCCCCCCCCCGACTGGGGACCTGGCCAGCAACCCAGCCATGTGCCCTAACTGGGAATCAAACCGGCAACCCTTTGGTTTGCAGGCCAGTGCTTAACCCACTGAGCCACACCAGCCAGGGCCTCTCTCCTTTTCTTTTCTTTCTTTTTCTTTCTCTTTCTTTCTTTGTAGTTTCTCTGTTAATGGTGGACCATAATTACCAAAATGTGTTCATTTACCCCCACCCCTACCCCACAGCCACTGTTACTTAGTATGCATTTATGGCTCCACTTAACCAAACCATAATGAAACCATTATTTTTGTTTAGTACTAAATGCTTTCTGATCTAACATGTCAGGGTCTTAGCCTGAATTTCAGTGGAGGAGAAATTGGATGGTGATAAAATAGAGTGAGGTGACTAGCCTGGCAGTGATACTCAGGTTTGGGCTCTCAGGTACAGATGGAAGGGAAAGGGGGTGGGTGGAGGGATAGAAAGGTACCAGGGTGTTTCCTCTCACAAGTTATTCCTTATTTCCAGTGACCCAGAAACTTGTCACCATCCTCAGGAACAGAATATCCTTTGTGTTCTGCTCCTAAAACATTACTGTCCTTACCCCTATTATTTTGCAAATGAAAAAGAAAATAGCACAGTGCCTCGCATTCTAGTGGATAGTATCCTCTCCTCTGTCAAATGTCTTTTCTGCCAGATTTCCATTTGAACAGATTTCCCACCTCAGTTGAGATAAGGAAGAAAAAAGATACACTCATGATTGTAAGACCCCAACCCAATTATTTTTTAAAAATTTCCTTCTGATATGTTTTCATAGGCTCGTGGATGCTGTTAAATTAGGAGAAAAATAAGACACAGGAGTTTTTCCTTTTGTGAATTATTTCTTGTTCCTGGTGACCCAGAACTTGTTGTCCCGTCCTTAGGAACCTGTAACAGAATATTCTCTGTATACCTCTTCCAAAACATTGTTTTGCAAATGTGATAGACTTCAAAGCACTGCTTTATAGTCAAGTGGACCAGATTCTATCTGTGATATATCCTGGCAACTTAAAAGAATGACTGGATGTTTTTGTTAAGTAAATGTAAGAATTTTAGAAAGTATTCAGAACGTTTTATGTTTTTAAATTTTTTTCTTGTGATTTATCTTTGAACATATATGGTTTTACATGAAATGTAAACATAGAATTTCAACTTTTACTTATAGAAGCAATTTTCCTATTCTAATTTTTTCAGTAGTTAAAACTTTCATAATATGATAATCCATCATGTTGATATAGCATACTTTATGTAATGTTCACTTAGTACAGCAAATTTAGGGAATTTTAGTTTCTGTTTGAAAAATTTGGGTAAGAACAAATTTTTCCTCTGAGTTAATTTTAGTATGTTAACTAGATTAATAACTATCATTTCTGTAATTTCTGGTACTCTGTCCTAGTCTCTTTTGGATTAGTTATATCAGTTACAGTGTCAGTAATGGTGTGGTGCCCTGCCAGTTTTATCACAGTATTACTGGTATTGAGTGTTTCAACTTTTTTCCCCTTCAAATACCAAGCAGTAAACAAGTTTAATAGAAAGCAAAAACGACCCACCATCTCATTACTTTATGTAATATTTATCGAATTCCTACTTGGGACTCTATTAGGAATAATGCTAAATACTTGTAAATTATTTATTTCATTTAATTTTATACAAATCCTATTAAGTAGATTCCATCTGAAGATGAGGAAACTGAGGCCTGGGTGCTTGAGTGACTTTACTAGGTTGCCTAATCCAGGCTGATAAATAGGCCAAGCTAGGATTTGAACCCAGGTCTTATTCCAGAGTCTTGTTCTTAGCCTTGCTTCACTTCATAGTATATGTACTTTTTAAATATTCATGTAGATTTTCCATGTATTATATTTCTCATAAGTATTTTAACAGCTATATTCGTTCATTGTGATAAAACACCAACGGTATTAAATCGTTTTATTCACAGTGACTATTTGGGCTCTCTAGGTTACTGTTATTACTAGATAATGTTTCATTGATTTTTTTCCCTGCATACTTACTTTTGTATTTGTGGAAGTATTTCTAATAAACTTATAGGGGGAAATATATAGATTATTTTGGGGTCTTGTATGTAACTCTTAACATGTGTACCAGTTTTATTATAATACCCCTTTTGTAACTAGTGTTAAAAAGATGTTGGGATTAATTGTTACAAGGAAGGAAATAAACATGCTTTTATTTGGGTATATGTCATTATAATTTAATGTTTCTGAGTTTTCTTAGACTGTTTTACTTATTGGTGACTCTGCATTAGCATTTTAAGATTATTTAACCATTCTAATTTCTTCTTGTGGTACATCCATTTCATGAAATCAGGATGCAAAAGAAGTCTAACATGACTTCAGAATGGATACAGAAAAACCAAAGACACAGAAATGATCTGTGTTTATTTTTGGATAATTAAAAAATTTAATTTGTACTTTATTTAAAAAATTCTAATGATATTTATTTTATAATCAGAAAATATTTCTTTCTAAACATTAGTGATAGAATGGATATACTTCTTATTGAAATAAAATACACAGATTGGAGGTAAGGGATCAGTTGCAAAGAAACAATCTCTGTCTCTTGTCTATCTCTAATGGAAATAAGATTTGTTTTTAAGCAGGTGAAATAAATGACATAGCTTCCCAATTTTTTTTTGTCACTTTTTCTCTTACAGAGATGCTGTTCAGTTAAATGTGATTGCTACACAACAGCTTATTCTCCTTGCACAACAAATGAAGAATATGGAGGTGTTCATGTATGTGTCAACAGCATACGCCTACTGCAATCGAAAGCATATTGATGAAGTAGTCTATCCGCCTCCTGTGGATCCCAAGAAACTGATTGATTCTTTAGAGTATGTTTGTTTGAAATTTATATATATTTGCTTTGATCCTAAAACTTTGGATCCAAGTTTATGTAGATACTATCTCTTCATCAATTTCAGTTTCTCCCTCTTCACCCAGTTTCATGTGCACACATACACATTTATCTCTTGTTTATTCAACAGAATTATATATCTACTGTGGGTTTTTTAATTGTATAGATTTATATAAACGACTGTTGGTGTCATTTAGTGTGGAGCTTTCACTTTTGACCAGGTGTGATGGTTGGAAGGGGGCCTTTGAACAAACTTCTCCGTGATATTAGGGACTCTGTTTCCCAGGCAATCAATCCTAGTGACTAAGTGCCTTATACCCATGGGAACTAATAACTACTTATTCACTAAAAAATTTCTAATTTATTAAAAGATTATCCTTTTTATTTTGCCCAACAGAGTGTATCTGTAGAGGTACCTTTAATTGTTAGGGAATCAGAGGAATCATGATCCTTTAATTTATACTTCTAGTGTTACTGTTTATCATCTTTCTGAGGACTTGGATGCTATCAACAATTATTGAATGATCAATATTTGGATATGGAGTAAGTGAAGTATGCTTATACCATGGCCAAGATTTCATTTGCTTCATTCAGCCTGTGGTTTCTCGTCAAGTGAAACAAACAATAAGGATCAGAGCAAAAACAAAAATCTTTTTACTTTTATAGACTGTAATTATAAAAACCTTTCAGTATCCATCATACCTTCATTTTTGTTAATCCTCGTATAATATTCCCATAGTCTTTTACCTCTTTATTCTTATCTGTTTCCCCTCAGGTATTCTCTCTTCCCAGAGATTCTATCCACTTTAATCTCCTTAGTTATCATTCTCTGCTTTCTCAGTCCAATTTTTTTCTTCCTAAGGGTGCTTACAGAGTGCTCTTAGCTCCTTCAAGTTGCCACCCAAAATAAGCATGTAAGTCCTTTTCTTTAAGGTTTTTCTGCTAATCATTATGAGAAAGCAGACAGATTATAATAATACAATTAATAAGTATGTGAGTTTACTAAGATATTCTTAGGATAATTTCCTGGTTTCTGTTTTCTGACTCCATTTCATAGATGATCCTAAATATCTACCTCATTTTCCTCACATGTCAGTAGGCAGAAGTTTTTAATATTTCTAGAAGTTGAGTGAAAGTTAATGAAGCTTTTTACTTTGTCTCTTATTAATAGTTGGTATATTCAGATATTTAAGTTGCTGAGAAAGAGTATATATCCTTATAATTTTATTTCTTCTTTTCCTTGCTTTCAAAGAAATCTGACAATTTTAGGATAACTCACGGATTGGGTCTGTAAACATAATTGAGCAGTGAGGCTTATTGGCTAAAGGCTTTCCTCCATTTAGCTAGTTTGTTGTTTTTTCTTTTAATGTAGCAGCATCTCTTCCATATTTCAAAGTTGTTTCCACTGTGCAGTTTTTCCTAAATTGATTAGCAAGTGCTTTTCAGGTTTTGTTAGTTTTCTTTTCCTTTCACACAGAAAAAGTACTTCCACATAGAAAAGAAAATTTGTCTTGACAATCTATTTTATGCTTCCTCATCAGTTAAGTAGGACTGTCATTAGGGTCTGTCAGTAGAATGTGAGTATACAATTATGTCTATATAACCTTGTAGACAGGAAGGGAAAAGTATCTGAAAACAAGTACATAATATACTGGCATCAGATATTTAGACTGGAAAAGACCATAGACATCACCTAGTATATAACCACCTTCCTTTTACAGATATAAGAGTAGACCTTTTCTTAAAGAGAAAGTGAGAAAATTGGAGGAATTTTATGACTTCATAGTAGGTTGCCAAATGAATTTTTTCACTGCTTAAATACTTTTATTATTTTGTAAAAAATTATTTGAATATTGATAGCTCTGCAAAATACTTCTCCTATCCAAAATCCTCAAACCCTTTCCACATGTCCTCCCTAAAGAAACAAAATATTTGTATTTTTTGCCCATTCACATCTAATTTTTGAAAACATAGGACTCAAAATCAAATATTTTTTTCCATTAGTAATTTTAAACCGTAGTGCAACATACTTAATGGCTTTGTTTTTTTTAAAAATTATTTTATCAGACTTTTATGAGGGGGGAAATTCACGGCCTTAGAGAGAATAGACATTCCCTGTTTGTAAAAAGCAATTGACATTGAAAAGCCCCTTTTCTCTCCCTGGAGTTTGTAATTACCACATTACTAACAGAACCAGCTCATGGGTGGACTTTCTACTTCACGTTAGGTATTGCTCAGGAGGTTTTGGGCTGCTGCTATGAAATGTAAAAGGGGTGAGTGGGACGGTATAATTCCAACACAAAAGAGTGACAAGGCCGGGACCACAGAATGTAAGCTTTCTGAGCCGTGAGATAAAAGCAGCCAAATTCCTAAGACCCCATTTCATGGCAGGCTTGTTAGGGGTAGAGGAAGATGATTACCAGTGTCAACCAAAATACTGCATATAATACCAGAGGCATGTAAACTACTGAGAAGGTTCCAACAGGAATAACTGCAGATGGAGATGACCCTCTAATTGAAATTTTATAGCATGGTTCAAGTTATTTTTATTGTTTACCCTAGTTTTTGGTAGTCTTGTCAGTGAGAACATACAGTTTTCAGTGCTTCACCTTAAATGTTGAGGGCACTAGAACCTTTCTATTAATTGTATGTATGTTCATTGCAAAGGTATATAATATGTTGGGATGTTTGGTGGGTATATAAAGAACTATAATTCCTAATTTGAAACCCACGTGGCCAGGTATATTTTGGAATTTTTTGGACTTTAGGAAAGAATAGAATCTATATACAGTATAATATAAAATAAGTTCAGTTAGGTCTGGGGTAGCGACCCTGATCAAGCACATATGACGTATATGAATATTCACACAAAGTGGTATTAAAAAAATATCAAAAATTACTTTAGATCAGCTTTGCTACCTACCATATGATTTACAAAAGAGCACTAGGTTTTCAGATTTTTTTGGATATAGAAATTGGGTATAAAAGATGTGGACTTATTGTTGATGTTTAATGAAAGGAAAACTAACTTCCATATTTTTAATAAAAGTTGTTAAATCATTTGACTCAGAGCAACAGATATGTTTGACTATGCAAAGTAAGTGGTTTTTTATTTTATTGTAAAATATCTGAAAATTTTTTGCATGCAATTTCTTTGTTTACCAGGTGGATGGATGATGGCCTAGTAAAAGATATCACACCCAAATTAATAGGCGACAGACCTAATACATACATATACACAAAAGCATTGGCAGAATATATTGTGCAACAAGAAGGAGCAAAGCTAAATGTGGCAATTGTAAGGCCGTCAATTGTTGGTGCCAGTTGGAAAGAACCTTTTCCAGTAAGTTGTTAGAAATCTCTTAAATAATTGGAATGAAAATTTTAAGTCATAACTCTGTATTTAAAGAGTTGGCAGTTGTTTGATTTAAGAGCAGGTGTTATTTATTGAATATGGTATAAGATGACAAAGCTGTTGCCATTCATAGACTGAGATGCTTTCACTGGTACTTTTATTTCTAATTTAATGCTGTGTTTAGAAATTGCAAATCAACATTTTAAAAATCTTAATTGAAAGTTAAAGATTCTGATGTTGTCTTGATTGACAGCATAGTTGTAATGTGGTTGATAGTTTCCTTTGTGATTGCTAAGCTTGGACTTTCGACACATCAGCATCTGTTGACTTTTAAAATTATTTGCTGATTAGCTTCCCTTGCAGAAGTGAAGGGAATAGAGATGAGAATATTCAGCATCTTATTTAATTTGCTTTTTACTACCAAAAAGAGGGAAGTCTTCCAAGTTGTAGTCTCCTCCCTGTATAGATTACAAGCTAAGAAAGCTAAAAGATTTCTATGAGAATTTGCTCTAGAAAAGGAAGGCAGTGTGGTATTTGTGAATCCCTAGAGTAAGAGGAAACATAGATGTAAACTAACAGATAAATTGATTTAGGGAAAATCTAGGTTTCTATAATGGTAGTTAAGTGATAGCATGCCTTTTGTAGCTTTGGCAATTCTATTTTACTCTGTTTTATTAAGTAATTTTGAGGGTAATGTACCATTTCCCCCAGTCAGGATACTGCATCAGTAAATTGCATAAAATAAAACTTGAACAGGCTTCATTTAGCAAAAGTATTTGACAGATATAAACTCCTTTTTCAAAAATTCTCCTTGCAGAGAGTTAATGGAAGAGTAGGTAACCCCCTGAAAATGATTTTACTTAGCCGCTTGCAATCCCAGGGAAGGAGTGTTTCTATTTGGGATGAAGAGAAATAGAATCTAGTCTAATTTTTAGTTCTTAAAAGAAAATTACCAGATATATATGGGGAGTTGGACATGTCACATAATAAATCTCCAGTTTCATAATATTTTTAAACTGCCTACCTTTTTTTATTTTTGGTATTAGGGATGGATTGATAACTTTAATGGACCAAGTGGTCTTTTTATTGCGGTAAGTAAATCTTTTGATTTATTTAATATTCTATATATTTTTTCTGTTTTCTGTATATCTTTATATCATATATGTACTCTGGCTTATATATCTTAAGGTGTTGTTTTTAATTTTAACAAAGGCAGGGAAAGGAATTCTGCGAACAATGCGTGCCTCCAACAATGCCCTTGCAGATCTTGTTCCTGTAGATGTAGTTGTCAACACAAGTCTTGCGGCAGCCTGGTATTCCGGAGTTAATAGGTATATGAGGTGACAATGTCCCTTTTTAAATATATAGTAACCCAGAAGGGAAAACCGCTACTGACTTATGTTAATACCTCAGTCCTGATACTCCCATGCAAATATGTATAAGCATTATCATTACCAGCTGTAAGAGTTGGCATATTACAGGCAATAACAGCAAGTGGTTCCATCAGCAGTAATTAAGAGTTAACATTAATTCTTATGTACTATCTACAGGATAGACAAGTTCATTAGGCAGTAAAAATGAACCCTACCCCCGATGATTTTTTTTAATCCAAACTAAAGCTGGGTATGAACTTGGCATAAAGAGCTAAAAATTCAGAGAATGACTTACATATAACAAATGTCACACTAGAGCAACTTTAATCGGGTCATGGGCATCCTTTTAAAAGGGGGTAGTAACATTTACACATAACATCTAAACTTTAAGCTTCTCAGTAACTTTTGTTTTCTGATTAACTGTCCTTATTTTTGAAGTCAGTATTTTTTATATTTTAAAAAAGGAGGAATATGACTATATGATTGTGGTTTCTGGTAAAAGGGAACTCGGTCCATAATATTTTCAACTAGAGCCTCTGAAACTGGGAAGGGGTTAGGAAGAGCTGAGAGTATTTGTTTTTGTTTTTCTTACATTTAAAAACTGACACTTCTACCATAGAAGGAAGAAAAATATTAAAAGGAAAAAAGTCTATTTTTTAAATAAGTAATATTGTTGGTAAGGGAGGGGAAAAGGGTATAAATATTTAGATGCAAAAATTAATCTTTTAAGGATAATTTTAAAAATAACGTAGCAAAGGTACCCATCCTCATTTTTTCCTACTTGAATATCATATAAGATTTAGATTGGAGAAGTTTGGCCTCTTTTTGTGTTTCATTGCTTTGATTTTTTTTTTTTCAGACCAAGGAACATCATGGTGTATAATTGCACAACAGGCAGCACTAATCCTTTCCACTGGGGTGAAGTTGGTATGCTTTTACCTGTGTTTTTGAATGTTAGAATAAATCTTAAAGAACTTAAAATATTCTCTGAGTTTTTAATGTCATGAGAATCCACAAGACATTAAGGCCACTGAGTTACCAATTTATTCTTATTTTAATTGCCATTTTAAGAATATTTACCAGGCCCTGGCTGGGTAGCTCAGTTGGTTAGAGCACTGTCCCAAAAAAGAATATCTACCAGTACTGCCTCATTTATAATATTGTTTTACAAATTTAAAAATACCTTGCTGTGTATTCCCTCCCTGTCCTGCCCTCGTCTGACCCTTCCTGTTTTTCTGCTGCCATTTGCAGCAGCCCTCGTGAATACCTGTGGCATGGAAACCGCTCTTTTTCTGTCATGGGCACTCTCAGTGTTGCCTATCCGTAGGCAGTAGCACTTCCAACTACAAGAGTTGGTGTATCACAGGAGATAGCAAGTGGTCCAGAGATTAATAAATGAAGCAGTTAGCAAGTAGGATACATTTTGTTAGAATATTTTCTATTAATTAATTCATTTAAATTTAAAATTCACAACAGGTTGTGTATATGCTGTTACTTGCTTTAAAATAGGAATAGTATAACTTAAAGCCTACTGAAATTCTTTTTTAAGTTGTTGGTTTATGTTTTCAGATTTAAAGTAAAATATATTTATGGCATTAATTTAATAATAAGTCTTATTTTACCTCTACTTGAACAATTTTTGTTACACTTGTAGATCAACTTTGATGTTAAAGTAAATCTTTTATGTCCTTTATGCTAAGGTTTTTCTGGGGCATTTTTATTTCAATTTAAGGATTGACCTTTAGAGCATATAAGGGAAAAAAAATCTAGGGAGATTTTACTTTTATGATAATTATAATATTTAAAAGTCTTCTTTTAATAATCTTAAAATACTTTAAATGAGTGGGGTTTTTTAATAATCTTTCATTGTGTTGTAAAGTTCAGTAAAAATTAAGTTGAACATTATTGAATATCTCAGTACACATTTCCATTAAAGTATTAACATAGGTGATTATTGATTTGATTGTGTTGATCTTGCATAACTAAATATTTTACAGTAGAAGTTAATTTGGGTTGTTTTAAGTTGTTGATGTATGTTAATTTGAGCAACTTAATTATTCATAAGCAAAGGATGATGATTTTCCTTTTCTTTTTTAAGTAAGTACAATAATAAGAATCTGGAAAGAGGAACAGAAAGAAAGAAGCTATCGTGAGAGGTGAAATAGAAAGTGACATTGTAAACTGACATATGTAAAAAATTAAAAGGATTTTTAAGAGTGAATTTTAGCAAAAATTCATTCATCTAAATAAAATTCATAAATAGTGACAGTTCTAAAAACCACTTTGGTTAAGCAGTCTAATACCCATATTCTCTTAGCTACTATAGAGAGTAGAAAAGTTTTTTTATATGAGCAAACTCTGACATCTTTGGTAAAATATTTTGCTTTATAAAAACATGATTTTTTCACAACTTTATTACATGGTTATTATCAAAGCTGTTGCACAACTTTTCTTCCTCAGAATACCATGTAATTTCCACTTTCAAGAGGAATCCTCTCGAACAGGCCTTCAGACGGCCCAATGTAAATCTAACCTCCAATCACCTTTTATATCATTACTGGATTGCTGTAAGCCATAAGGCCCCAGCATTCCTGTATGATATCTACCTCAGGATGACTGGAAGAAGCCCAAGGTAATGGTGACTAGCTCTGTCTTATCTGTTCCTCTGACTGTTAAACAACCCGTGCTTACACTAAATGCATATTAACTCTCTATTTGTTTATGCTTATGACAAGGCTTAATGGCCTTTTATGAATGAGAAGACTCTTGAATTTAAGACTTTGTCAGAAAAGCAAAGGTAGTATTGTAATTCACTCTAATTTTAAATTTTGGATGATAAATTATTGTCATGTGCTGAATTCTAGGTATAACTTTAGGTATATTTTTTCTGAATAACAAATAACATTCAAAATGCTTTGATGCTTATTTTTCCTACAGGATACTATCTAAATCATTGCTTCAAGATGAACCCTTTCAACTGTGTAATAAGGCAACCCCAAATTAAGTTTTGTTCCAACAACTTTTTGGTTTCTTATTGGAAGGGTGTCAGACATACAGTACCTGCATTATTGTTCGATCTTGCACTCAGGTTGACAGGTCAGGATCCGTGGTAAGAAGAATAGAAATAAATACACTATGTATTGGTAAGGTGGTGGAAGCTTGCTAGAGAGACAAAAAGTCGCTAGCATGAGCTTTACCTTTAGAATTACTAACTTAATCAATCACAATCAGGATGCTAGGACATTTCTTAGAAATTGGGGATATTTGAGGAGACTAACTGTGGATCTCAGCTTACTGACCCTCCAAAATCCCATAATATTGGAAATGTCCAACATCAAGATTGTCATTGTTATTATAAGCTGAAATTGAGCCCTTATCCTCATCCCCTTAAAAACATAGGGGTAGTTTTATAGGGGATTATGGGTAAAATGTTTTGCTTTAAGTAGAGTGTGCAGTTTTATATGAAAAACATTGGATGCTTCTAGAAAATTAATTGCTTGAATTTTCTCAGCTGCCTGTTCAGCTTATAATATATTATACTTTTTGACTAATTTCCAAGTTGAGAATCATATTTTTTAAAAAGTTAGCAAATGAAAAATGTTCTGTTTTCTTTTAGTTGTTATGGCCTTTCTTTTTGCTTTTATTTTTTATTGAAACCTCACAAACTTAAGTCCTCCTTTTTTTTTTACCACAATTATAATGAAATGTCCCATAAAATATTTATTTTTTTAACTACATTGGCATTACAGTGGAGTCTTTGATTGGAGAGTTCATGATTTGAATATTTATGTATAAAGAAGATGCTGATTCCAGAACTTCCATCAACTGCTCAAAAAGAATAAAAGTGAGATATCTACCAGTTATAGTATATCAGGAGCTGAATTACTTGTACGGGTTTTCTGTGGATTCAGTTGTCCACTATGTTTCTTAACTCTAGATGTTTAATACTGAAAACTGTGAGAGGTGTTGAACAACTTTAGGTAAAGAAATGCTTAGTGGAAAAAACACCCACAACATAGCTAAATTATTTTCAGGTTTTTTAGAATTATCTGAAAAGTACAGTATTTGTCACTCAGCATTCTTTGTGGCAAAAAAGCAGATGTAAATTTCTGAGTAATGGCAGTGCATGCTTTCTTGATATGAATAAAGTTGTAATTTAGAACAGAAAAGTCAAAACTATGTCACAAAAGTAAAACAGGTTAAATATATCACAATGCCTTACAGAAAATAAAGGGGTGGGGACCCGGCTTAGTACATTAAAAAATGAATAACCAAAGTTTATTAAATAATTTATACTAGATGTTGCCTCATAACAAGTCATCTCAAATTGAGTGGCTTAAAACATCAGCAGTGGTTTTATTAGTTCTTTCAATTTATTATTTCCTCTTAACCTGTGTTGGTAACTAAGTAGCCTCATTAATCTACCCTCCTGCCCATAAAAGACTGTGAGTCCCCTGGGCTCAGCGATTGCTTCTGTAAAGAGCTATATGGTTTCTGTTGCAACTACTTAACTCTGCTGTTAACTGTAGACTCTTACCTTTCATTTACTCAGCTTGACATCCATAGACAATATTTGATTGAATAAGCATGACTGTGTTCCAATAAAACTTTATTAACACAAACTGGTGGATTTGGCCCTAAGGCTCTGGTTTGTTAATCCTTGATCCAGAGGCCTCTCTTCATTTTGTACTGTCTCTGTTCCTTTAAGTATAAACTGATATGATTCCTTTTAAAACTGTGTTTCCCAAGTATTTATTTTAAAAGTTTCCATTAGACTAAAGCCATACCCATAGATCTCTTTGAGACATGTCCTTCTCTATCTTGGGTTCTTTATGAGTGTACTATGGGACAACACCCTTAGATCTTAGATTCTTGTCTCTTAGATCCTTAAGCTAGACTCTTAGATCCTGTTTCTTAATCAGTAGGGTTTCTATGAGACATTTCTTTAGGAACTGGAGTAAGCCTTTTGTTTGAAAGGTTCTATGAGATTCTTTTTGAAAGAGATCAAAAAGAGTCTGGAGGCTTTGGCTAGAAATAAATGATACAGATTTATTCAAGGATCTTAGGGTTTGCAAATTGGAAACACAACTAGGCAATACCCAAGATATTCTGAAGAAGAAAGAAAAGTTAAGAGATTTTATAGTAAAAAGTACATTCTTAAGAAGAGTAAGTCCTGCATTCTTAGCCCTAGGATTGGTCCAGGACAGTTATTTGCAGATGTTGGTTGGTCTGGAATCTGGAGGATGGGTGTCAGAAGGTCAGGTCACATCTGGTCATATGGATAATGGATGTCAGGTGGATGGCATGTGGCCTGGATATATGTGAGTCCTTCAGGAGATAATCAGAGGGTTGTCTGGAGGTCTGGTATATATCCAGGTATTGACACACAACAAATTGATGTATATTCAGGCATTGACAGAGGATGGAAAAGTTCCAAGTTTAAGTTCCCAGACTAGTTAAAACAAGAATAATACTGTTTCCTCATGCCTCAAGCAGGTTGATTTTAGAAATTTAGCAGTTTGACTATAGTGACTCCATTTTATTTCTTCTCTCTGTTTTCCTCAGGTACTACTTTAGATCTTGTTGAGGTCTTAACCAACAATCTTATATATGCATTCTGGATTTGACCTATGTGCAGAAGCCATTTTTTAAAAGAATTCCCAGCCGGTGTTGTCTCTAAATTCCACTCAGACAGATAGTTCAATTTTTAAAGATCACCTTTGTCCTCTTGGAGGAAATCTTGGCTAGATCATCGAGTTAGTGCAGTTTCTATTTTCCATGTTACCACAGGTGATAGTTTTATTCTTGAAACTCCCTACAATATTTTCGTCACTGTTCTTTAAGGCTTCACCAACAGGTTCATTAAAGCCCTTTAAGACTTCCACTAAACCTTTTTTCTTGGTCATTCCAGGTTTCACGAGTGGTCTCTTCAAGAACCTTTTAGATTCTGTCTACCACCTGATCCTAAAGCCAACACTACATGTTTTAGAGTTTTATTATAGCATCTCCACACTCCCCAGTACTAAGATTTGTTCCTTTTTTCTGTGCTGCATGGCAGATCACCTCAAACTTAGTATCTTAAAACAACAATAATTTTGTTTATCTCTTATGATTTCTGTGGGTCAGGAATTCTAGAAGGATTTGGCTGTGAGGTTCTGTCCCAGAGTCTTTCAAGTGTTTGTAGTCAGATAGGAACTGGAGAAGGTACACTGGAGGGAGTGAGAAAGGAGAGGATGGGAGTACCTGGCGGAGCCCAGAATCTTTTTCTCTTTATGTAGTCTCAGAGCTTATCCATGTGCTCTCTCCACATGGACTAGTTTGGGCTTCCTCACAGCATTACAGCCTCTAGGGGAGTTGGACAGCATACATGGCAACTGAAGGCTTCAAGGGTGAGTATTGCAGCAAGCAAGGCAGAAAGCTCTTTCATCTTTTCTTACCTACCCTCGAAAATCACAGTGTTATTCCTACCTCATTCTGTTGGGTATAAGTTACCTTCACTTCTTGATGGGGAGATAGTCAAGGTGATATTATAGGTGAGCATGTAGGATGGGAGATAATATTGTAGCCACCTTTGGAAATTAAAATATGCTCCAAATAGGAAACATCAAATAAAGAATCTTATCTGAGGTTTGCCCTGTGTGAGGCTTTCAAATTAGGAATTATCCTTGACCTCTGGGAGCTTATAGTCTAAAAGCAAAAAGAGACATAAAGGTTCTTTACTTAGGCAATTTTATAAATGTTAAATACAAAGTAGTGTAATTTATATTATTTCATTTGTTCAGATATTTATTGAGCAAGATACTGGGCTTTATGCCTTATACTGGGGCCTTCGTATAATGCCTACATCTACATTAAACTAATGTCAGTCATTCACGGTGTCCATTTTACTCCTTCACTTTATTCTGAGTATCAGCTAGATAAAAATCTGACTTGCTTTATATCTTCACATAATTGTAAATTTATAAGTACAACTCAGATATGCATCATACAGATTCCTGGTTAACACTCTTTAGGGACTAGGATTCATGATATTACATGTAGAAGCAGCATGAATTATTCATTCTAGCTCTTGAAATATAGTAGATACTACATCACCGTTAAAAATAACATTTAAAAAAATTGTTTCATGGTCTTGTTTTTTTGGTTATTTAGCTTAACTCTTTCTAGTTTGAATTCTATGGTCCTAATATTTTTTAATTTGTGTGGTTCTCAACAGAGGACAGTTTTGTTCCCCTCAGGGAACATTGGACAATACTTGAAGATATTTTTAGTTACCACAACTCAGGGAAATGCCACTGGCATCAAGTTGGTAGAGACCGGGGATGCTGCCAGGTATCTTAGAATGCGCAGGACAGCCCTTACCACGAAGAATTACCTGGCCCAAAATGTCTATGGTGCTGAGGTTGAGAAACAGTGGACTAGATGACCATTAAGACCTTGCCCTACTTTAAAGGATTGTGATTTTTTGTGGGTTGCCATAATAAAGAACATATAAATACCTAGAATATGTGAGTATATGGCAATATCGTCCCAGGCATTTGCACTTATGTCATGTTTAACCGAAGAGTGATGGTGCAAAGTTTTGTTTCTTTTTATCTCCCACAGGTTTGATAATCTGTGAACTTGACACATATGTAGCCTTTCAAATTTCCTTTTCCCACTCCAATTTTTTAGTACAATTGTTTTTGAATGGCTGAAACAATGATTGGTCTTAGGATAATTCTGTCACATGAGTGAATCTGAAGACTGGGTGAGAATTGTCAGTGAAAAAGGAGTTAGAAAGAAAAACTTTTAAATAAGATATATGTTGGAAAGCCATGTTAACCAGATATGGGTCTGTGTGTGATTCATTTCTACTATACTGGCTGTGACAGTTGATACTGACTTAATTACAAATTTCTTATATCTTTTTGTTATTCTAGAAAAAATGTTTAATCTCTTTTCTAAAAGTAGTAGCATGTATTCTTTTTTTCCACCAAGAGCTTTCTGTGTGAAGTATTTTTGTTCAAATATAGCCTTTTGAGGGCCAGTAATTCGTTTCATGTTTAATGGAGGTTTGTTTTGTACTTGCTTTTTTGTATGAACTACAGTTTTTCTTTACATAGTCTATGTTACCTCATTTTTCTCAATATTCTAGAGTCAGGGTATATTTCTAAATGTATTGAATATGTCATCAGAATTGGTTAGCTAACTATGTTACTATTTTGATTTTTCCCCCTTGTTTCTAATGTTCTGATTTTTCTCTATTTCTAAAGTTCTTGATTTTGGGACTCTCTAAATTACATACAATGCTAATCCATTTTGGGGGACTATAAATTGAGGGTTTTTTGGTGCCAGTATATTCACAAAGTATTTTTCGGCTTATCAGAGGTTAGGAATTTTTGGTGTGTATTTTGTTCTAAAAAAATTCTTTCTCCCCTTTCCCTACTTATCATGGGTAATTATTGTATAGATGTTACTTCTTAGGTTAACGTTATGATATCAGTGACTTACAGTGATCCATGACATATAAAATAACATTTAAAGATTAAGGCCCTTTGCCTTCTTAAAAAGAAATGAAACAGTATCAAATGCCCTTATTTCTGTAAGGGTGAATATATGGGATTTGGGAAAATGAATAAATATTTCAGAAATTTCAGCGTGAGTCATTGATTTCATGATTTAACCAGAGGATCAAGAGTGGTTTTTGTCAGTGTTAAAGAGAACGTTACTTTATATACATATATATACAGAGAGAGAGAATGAATATTTCTGTATAGTAGAATATGTTTTAAATTCTCAGGAAATTTTAGTATAATGTCGTTCAAGAAAAATTGATCCTAAACATTGTATTCCCTTTGAAAATTAATTTCATGCATCAAAAGACCTTTATTTAGGTGGTATTAAATTCATTTACTGCTGCTTAAAAATTTTTCTTCTACATTTTGGATTTATGAAATATTCTTCCAAATGCAGAAATATTCTCATTACCTGATAGTTTGGTACATTTGTTGAATTATGTATTATGATTTTACTGTTATTGCCCAGTTTAGAAATTGGTGCTGTGGGTGGGGATGAGATTCTTTTTTTTCTAATCTATGCAAAATATGAATCTGTCATTTTCTTATAATACAGGATGATGAAAACAATAACTCGCCTTCACAGAGCTTTGGTGTTTCTTGAATATTTCACAAGTCATTCTTGGGTTTGGAATACTGACAATGTTATTATGTTAATGAATCAACTAAATCCTGAAGATAAAAAGGCAAGTATTTTCTGCTTTATATTGGAAAATAAGTAGTTTACTAATTAGACAATCATCAACAACCTGAGAAGTAATTAAGTATTTTTCACAACCATTATGCAACAAGAAAGTCATTGATCTATTTATTTATAGTCTCTCATTAAAAGCTTCAGTCATAATTGTTGGTGATGAAATAAAATTGCTTTGCCGTAGAATTTATAAGGTGTATTTGGCATGGCAGAGATGTTTTTAAAGTATGATAGAAATGTTCATTTTTTACAAAATATTAATGTCAGGTTGAAAGATAATTTTAGCTTCTTTAGCTTTTGCCCCCCAAACACTTTTTTTGAGAAAAACCTTTTCTAAGAAAATTTTTATATGCTAGTTTACATTTTATCATTTCACATTTCTCCTTCTGTTAATTTGAAACTTTTTTTGTGTGTGTGTTCTTTTTGAGGTTACGTTAGATATCTTACTGTGCATACTTAACAAAGTCTAAATTAAGCAATTCCTGTAGCCTCTTCCTCAGTGATATTCAGGACCTTAAAATGTTTTAGCTGTGATTATATGGTTACTCCATCAGATTATATGGACATTCATTAGTTTTCTATTTAAACCTCTTATGTATAGAAATGATTATCTTTGTTCAGTTTTATTTAGATATAACTATGTTTACCAATGTCTTTGGTATCAGATCTTCTCTTTTGGATCATTTTCTTTCTGCCTTAAGAATATACTCAGAGAACCAGAATATGATTTAGCAGGTTGTCTGTTAATAGTGAACTCCAGGTTTTTGATTGTATGACATCTTTATTTTACCCTTGTTTTTGTAACATGATTTAAGCACATTAAAGGTAATTTTCTTTTCATACTTTGTCTTACATTGTTGGTGTTGAAAAGTCAGTGTAAATTTCTGCCGCCTTTCACGTGATCTGTTACACCTAGCTCTTTTTCAGGAGTTTTTCTCTGTGCTTAATGTTTTGCAGTTTTGCTATGAATGTGGTGTCATTTAAAAAATCTTATCTTGTTTTGGTTGGTTTTCCTAGAGCTGAAGTTTGATGTTTTTTGGCAATTCAGGAAAATACTTAACCATTGTCTCTTATCTTGTAAAATTTTAGTGTATGTTAGATCATTCCTCTGGGTCTTTTAACTTTATTTCATATTTTGTATCTTTTTGTTTCTGGCCCGAAATCTAGATTATTTATTAAAGTTCTGTGTCTGTCAGCTGCGTCTAAACCACCCAATTGAATTTTTAGTTTTAGTTGTTATATTTTTATTTTTAGAAGTTCAATTTATTTTTCAAATCTTACAGATATTTCTTAAACAATCTTTAGAATTTTTTTCTTGAAACGTTTAAAAGTGTAAAACATGTTTTTAAATTGAATTTCAGATCATTCAAACTTCTACAGGCTGTGCAGCCTCCGATCTGCTATCTGTTTAAGCCTGGTCTTATCGTGGCACTTTGTTTCTTTGTTTTTTATTGGTATTTGACTGTAAAATCATATTCCTTACAGATTTCCGTTGGAATTTCTTGAAGTGTACATTGAAATTGCAGTTTTCCAATAAGGATTTACCTTTGCTTGCATCAATAGCCTAGTGACTATTAGCATTAACTAGCTAGGGGGTATTAAGCCAGAAACATTTTAAAATATCTATTAGATTTTTAGCATAACACAGGTACAGGCCTTAAATAGACTCTAGGTCTGGCTCATGATTATAGTTTCTCGAAGGAGATTTTTTTTTAACCTTTTCAATACTAGGTTCCTTTCTCTTCCCACTTGAAAATTTTTTTTAAATAATATGTCTTACTTAACCCAGTATATCCAAAACAATATGTAATTTGAGCAAAAATTTAAAAGTTACTTAAAATTTTAAAAATTATTTAAAGAATATTTTACTTTGTATTTTTCATACTGAACCTTTGAAAGTCAGTATGCATTTTACACGTGACAGCAGTGTCAGTTCAGGCTAGCCACATTTCAAGGGACCATGAGGTAGTGTGGCTTCTTGTGGCTAACATCTTGGATAATGCAGATTTAGTCCATTCTACTGGTTCTGCATAACAGAAGTTCTCAAGTGTACTGTTCCTTGGCCCAGTTCTGTGTGTGGTGGACTTACTTCTTTTCCATCCTTGCTCTGAGGATATAACTTTTTGGATTCTTAGCCTTTTTGCATGAATATTCAATGTGACTCCTTAAATTATGGAGCCATAGGTGTTATAGCCAGTCTTCTCTGCCTGCAGCCTTCAAAGCAGAAGGTCTGAGTTACCAGGGTCCTGCAGATCATTTCAGGTTGAAAGATTCATGGCTTCTGCTGATTCCATACTTTTCCTCCACCACCCCTTTGCCCTCCCATCCTGCATTTTAATGCACAGTGTATACCGCTCAATGGATTATTAGAAAATTAACACCTAGGTTAAGAAATAGACATTACTTACAGAAAGGATTCCCCTCATAACCTCTCCAATCATTATCTCCTCTCTCCTAATCTGCCTTGAATTCTAATACTGTTAGTTTTACCCATTTTTGACTTGACACAAATGATATCATACAGTATTTTTTTATCCTTTTGTTGATAGACATTTGCATTATTTTCAGTTTTTGGTTATTGGGAATAATTCTCCTGTGAACCATGTGCATACATTTGTGTAGGATATATACCTAGGAATAGAATAGCTGAATCAAAGGGTATTTGTATGTTCAATTTAGTAGACAACACGAGACAGTTCTCAAAAGCGGTTGTGCTGGTTTACCTTCCAAGTGGCAGTGTATGAGAGTTCCTGTTAATCTACATTCTCCCCAACATTTGGCATTTTAATTTTTAATTTTAGCCACTTTGGTGGTGTGTCATGGTATCTCAGTGCATTTCTTACTACATAAGAAGTTTATATAGAAATGGCCCAAATGGCCAAAATGTCAATAATCCTATTGAAAAATGGGCTAGAGAAATGAACAGTTTACAGAAAAGTAATTCTTAAATGATTCTTAACCATGTGAAAAGATATCTACTGCACTCATAAAAAATGGAAATACAAATTAAAACTAGAATGAGATGTTTATTAGCAGATTTTCAAAAAGTGCAAACTATCAGCATACCCTGGTGTGGGGCCTTGGGCAAATGGGCATTTTCATACAGTGCCGTTAGAAATGATTATCTTTCCCCATCCTTTTATTTTCAACTTTTATTTATTGTTATCTTTCAATTATTCCTCTTATGAATAGCATGTGGATTTTTTTCAGTCTGACAATTTTTGTCCCTTAATTGGAGGGTTAATCTGTAATACAGTTGCTGATAATTTTGGATTTATATCTGACTCAGTACTTTGTATTTGTCCCTCCTGTTTTAGGTTCTTTTTTGCTTTCTTTGGTTATTTTTAGTTTCATATTTTTCCATCTGTATTAGTTACACAGAAGTATATTTGTTTTCTGTTAAGTAGGTTACTCTATAGAGATTTTAGCATCTTTCCTTAATTTATCAACATCAAATATAACATTGATAATTTCACCTTTTCTTGGAAAATACAAGGACTAACACCTATCTGCTATTGTTTTTACATATTTAAGTCTGTGTTATATGCCTCATAACCATTATTATTGCAGTCTATGCAATAAGTATTCATATAGATTTGCCCGCATAATTGTTGTTTTGTTCTTTTTTCTTTCTCCATGCCAGACTTCAATCTGGAATCATTTTCATTATGCCTAAAGATTGTACTTTAGTGTAATTTCTCTAGTGTGGGTCTTCCACTGATGTCAGATTGTCTCAGTTTTTATTTTTCTGGAAACATCATTACTCTTCAAAAATATTTGTGCAGATATAGAATTCTATGTCAGCAGGTTTCTTGGAGCACTTGGAAGACATCTCATAGTCTTTGGCTTCCCATTGCTTCTTTTGAGCAGTCAGCTCTCAGTTGTTCCTTTGGAGATAATCTCTATCGTGTTTTTTCTGATGACTTTAAAATTTTTCTCTTTGACTTTCAACAGTGTTATTCTGATATGCCAAGATGGGGGTGTGTGCACATACAGTATATGTGAGATTTGAACCTGTGCCTTGATGTCTCATTATTTTTGGAAAATTTCCAGCCAGTCTTAGATATTGCTTCTGTTGCATTCTTTTTCACTCTTCTGTGGGAATCCAGTTATGCATATGTATGTCCTCCTTATATCTTCTATCTTCAGTCTCCATTTTAAGGTGATATTACTTTAATGATTGATTTATGGTAGCTTTTTTTTTTTTTGGTCTAGAGCTTACTGTGTGTAAGTAAGTAATGTATATAGTGAATAATCTGGTGACCCAAATGTATGGAGGAGAACTTAGTAGCACATGGTCCTCTTATTTTGTCACAAAATAACATTTCTGTAAGGCTTTTTTAAAAAGTCTAGATTTGTCTAATCTTTTCATCAGATGGTCTAGTTACTGTTGTCTAAACTTCTAAGCCAGCTTTCATAACATCCTTTTTCTTGAGGTCAATACTATTCTCTAGGAAAATTAATCTATAAGGTACACAGGATGTTCAAGAAGAGAGGAGATACTATAGATATAAACCGGAAATAAAGGCATTAATACATGTATGAAGTAGTTGGGAATACATACATCTATTTGGATAATGGGATTTTGTCTTTCGTATTTTGTGTGTGTGTTCTTTTGGATGGTGCAGGCTTTTTTCTTACACTTAATGTACTCTTTAAATGCTAATGTGAGTTTTCAGATTATCTTCGCAGATGTTTCTGTGTTTAGTGGAAGGTGTGGAATAGTAATAACTTTTGTGAATAGTGGTAAGATTTTACTCTTTTGAAGCTCTGCATACTCAAAGCCTTCTGTTTAGTTCAGAAGATTTTAAAAGTTAATATGGTAAACATTTTGTAATCATGTCCTTTGGAATTAGCCTGTAGAAAAAATACAAATTTTTGCCTAGTTGTGAAAAATATTAATAGGGTAACCAATGATTTTTTGTTTATGTAGACTTTTAATATTGATGTACGGCAGTTACACTGGGCAGAATACATAGAGAACTACTGCATGGGAACCAAGAAATATGTTTTGAATGAAGAAATGTCTGGCCTCCCTGCAGCGAGAAAACATCTCAACAAGTAAGTTGTGCATGGGTTTGATTTCCTCTTGTCTTATGAAATATCACAGTTTTTTTGTTAAGCGGGTATAGCGAATGTATGATATTGCTAATAATCTATTGCATTTAGGAAAAATGCTTACCTTTGGACTGAAACTTTGGTAGTATTGATTTAGCCTAATATTGTTGAAACTTGATATCTTCATCAGCTTACACTCTTCCTTAGCACAATGTGCAGGTATAATTCAGTTTTAAAAAATCACTAGTATCTTCTGTTGTATTGCTACTGAAGAAGTAAAAACATTAGGAGAAAATAAAAATATATTTTAAACTGGAAGTAATTTATTTATTTAAAGTTTTTTTTTACCCTATCTGATATATCTTTGAAAGAGAAAAGATAGTAATAATAATACATCATTTAACATGGACTTTTTTTTGTTTATAAGAGTTATAATTCCTGTTACTATCTTATAAAAGTAATACATGTGGATTGTTTTAAAAAACATACACACACCAGGGCAAAGAAGAGGAAGGGTGGTCAAAGAACATGTATAAAGGACCCATGTACAAAGCCAAAGGGGGTAGGATTGAGGGTGGGAGGTCGGGGTGGGTGGGGCGGGGGAAAGGGGTGCCGGGAAAATGGAGACAACTCTACCTGAACAATAAATAAATAAATACACACACATACAAAATAGAAGAGGAAAAATCACTGTAAATCCATCATTCAGAAATGCAGCTGAAATTTTAATGCTAAACTATTTGTAGTTTAGTTGATACAATTTTTATAACAGTTTTCAAGACTTTCACATTATTATTCTTGTGCCTCCAATTCTTTGAGGTTTTGTAGGGCAGTTAGCTGTATACATGAGAAACTGAGGTTTAGGGAAGTTGTATTTGCCTAGGTCATATTGTATTGATTGGCAAAACAAACCAGAACAGTGACCTTTGACATGTAATTTAAAACTCTTTTGTTGACACCACTTGTTCATATATGGTAATCTTATCCTACACTGTCTGTTGAAGTTATCAACTATAATAGGAGAAGTAAGTTCACTTGTTTGAAAACTTCTATAAGTATCTAAAGATGTCCCAAAAATGTTTATTTTGTCTGTACGATCATATATGTAGTGAACAAACCTTTTTAGATTAGTTAGGAAGGAAAAAGCTCCAAACATGTAAGAGACGTGTCTGTTTTACCTACAGTTTGCTTGCTGCCTAGCACAGTACAGGGCACACAAAAGGATGCTCATTACTTGCTAAATGATAGATTTGCACCTCAAATATACTGTTACAAAAAAAGCTCTGTGTTATTCATTGTTAATAGGGGTAATACATTGTTTAATGGACTGCAGTACAGAGTATGCATAGTCAGATGTGACTTTTGCTAACTTTATAACTTAAAGACTTATAGTTACTTTTTAAATAAATTTCAAATTAGTATGGGTTTGAACTTTGATTATGTTAAAAATGGAGCATTAATTATGTGCCATTTAGCAATATTTTATTCTAGAAAATACTGTCTAATACATCTCTTGATTTGCTTTCAGGTTGAGGAACATACATTATGGTTTCAATACTATCCTTGTGATCCTGATCTGGCGCATTTTTATTGCAAGATCACAAATGGCAAGAAACATCTGGTACTTTGTGGTTAGTCTGTGTTACAAATTTCTGTCATACTTCCGAGCATCCAGCACTATGAGATACTGAAGAAAAGAATTTAGCATTAGAACATCTATGCATATATGGTGGTCTAAATGCACAAAATGTAAAATGTACTTAAGTCATCTCACCTTTTGTCAAGACATTAAACCATCTTAGATCAGAGTGTGGAGTAAATTATGGTACATTTTATGTAACATTTTAATGTTTATGCTTATAAAAATCTAGTGAACACACTGTGGTATGCCAGCTCAAATCTGCAGTAGCCACCAAAACCATGACTTAATATTTTGATCCCTTGGGAAAAGGGGTGGGATGAGGGTAGGAGTGGGGATATGGGAACACTGACCAGTATAACTGTGCAATTCTGGAACACGTTAATTAAAATATGCCTTAACATATAGTGAATTTCTAATTTTAATATTTAGTGCAATGGAAAGCATTTATTTGGACAGGAATGCTAGCTAAGTTGGTAGTTACTTGATTCTTAGTGTTTGATTTTTTTTCATCATTCAAAGTTTTGTTAGTTAAAATGATAGCCAAATTATTTTCACATCATCCTGTAAGTTACTGAATGGTCTCAGACATGAAAGACATGTTAAATCCTTTTTATTTCTCTGATTAAAGATCTGATGCATATCATTTTTCTATAAGCAATCAGTTGCTTTCATAATCAGAAGGCTATATATTGTTCTGAAGATCCTGCTGGATCTAGATGGGTTTGAAAATCCATAACAACATACGCTATCTCTTTTTTGAAGGAAAATGAAAATGACTTAAATAAGACTCTTAGCCTCAAAAAGTAAGAATACATTTTTCTTGTCCACATTTTAACCAAATAGAAATCAGTCCTGTGTAAGATGTTCATGTTTTGAAGCTGGAGGATGTCTTGAGACTTTGGCAAATGAGGGGTTGGGGAGGGATTCACCATACTGTACTTTTCTCCCTTTATAAATTTTATTAACTAATAAGACTTTTAAAAAGGCTTATGCTGTCTTTCCAATGAAAAGTGAAAGTGCATTATTATGGAAGACTATATTTGCAGATAGACATAGCATTAAGAAAATGTTCTCACATGTGTGTAAACACATACTAACTTTTGACCTGGAGAGCTGAATTCATTCAAGAAAAATAAAATGCATAAAATAATATGTATTAAAATTAAATAAAGAATTTTATTTACATACCACATAAAGTAGCAAACTGTTGAATGAGTTTGAAGATAATCATTTATTTTTTCTGCATGTGGTTTTAGCTTTAAAAGAGATGCATTATAGAAACAAGTAATAGCAAGAAAATTAATGTATATTTTAATGATACATTATAATTCCCTTTAAACCTTAATAGTAGTTAACTCTCCCTACTGTTTCAACCTATAGTTGGTTTAACAGATTGATCAACATAACATGTTTTAATTTAGCTGATCAAGTTCTATATTTAAATCATCAACAGTATATCTTGAATATGTTTAATGAGGTCAGTTCACAATACAAAAAGTCATATAGAACTTTACATCTTAATTTTCTTTATAAAGTTAAATGCGACGTATAAGAAGTTTATTTTGTTATTGTGAAAAAACTAAGTGTAAAGGAAATCACCTTCTTCCATGCTGGTGTGTAGTCTTGAAAAGGAAAAATGCTTCCATGTTGAAGCCAGGTTTTCTGTAGTTTAAAACTTTTAAACATTATTTTAAAAGAAATACATATATAAATACACACACACACACACACACACACATAAATTCTTTGGAATGACATAGAAGTTTCTGGTCTAGGACCATATCTTGTATAAGGTGTGAGAGACCATGATAGTGTCTTAAAGATGGACTAAATGATAATGCCTTTAATTTAAAGTGGCCCATGTAATTAACTTCAGATGCTCTGTACACTGAGTGATCCATCTCCTCAAGTACGTTTCCATCATGTGTTGAAAACATGCTCACATTTTACACTCTTGCCAAAAGATACTGAGAATCAGATGAATTGTCTTTGTATCTTGAAAAAAAATCAGGTACAACTTTGGCAGGCATGTGAAATATATTTGGGGTGTATGTCTTTTGAATTTGTGTCATGGTTCTTATAATCTAACTTCAAGAAATGCTATCTGGGAAGGTGCTGAGACCACTGCATTAATTTTGTGTGTTTGTTTAACAGAATTCTGTTGTCAGAAGGAAGCTAATGAATAAATTAACATGTCATTCCAGAACTTAAAGTTCTAAAATTAGTATAAAGCACACACAGATAGTTAACCCCCACTAACTAGACTTCAGGCTTAACTCAAATTTAAAAAGATTTTGGGAATCATTTATGTTTGTTATTTGCTAGAAATGGCTTTTAGTTTTGTTTGATTATAATTTCTGCACAAATTCAGTTCTTAACAGGATGGCCTACTAAATCAAATAAACTCAATATTTCATTTAACTTACTTGATAAAGCTGTATTGTAAGACATTTGTTTTTTTTCCCCTCATTCACTTTGAGTCTTATAATTCTGTCGCATGCATTTGTCAATTGTGACTGTATTTAAATTTGACTTGGCAACATTAATATGTCCTAAAACTCAACACAAAGAAGCATGGCAATGCATTCTTTGACTTAAGGGTGGTATAAAATAAACATTTTTTTTAATCTGTGTAATAAAGCTTAGAAGCAGGTAGAAAAAATCTTATTTCTCCCCCACCCACCCCTCCCTTTTTTGTGTGTGTTTGTCTATAGGAACTTGTTCAGGGCTTTTTTTTGCTTTTTGTTTTAAATGTAAATTGATTCCATAAGAAGTATAGAAGCATTATTGGGTGCCTTTGCTTGTAAACCAAAAAGTAATAAATGAATCCCTGTATTTCCATTATAGTACTTACTGTATTTTTACAATAATTATCCTGAAAATTACCAGTGAGATAATGCAGTTAGGATTACAGGATGCAGCCCTCACTTACATTTCTTACCTCTTTTCAGGTGTACTCATTACTTCTTGTGTCCTAATTTTATTTAATTCCAGGTTTCTTACACAGCGTTTTAGGGGAAGCAGATAGTTAGGATGAATACCTTTTGTTAAAGTATTATTTTTATGTATTTGCTGAGATGAGGAGATTGCCAGGGTGTTGTTAGGCTCCCGTTACTCTCCTCCACATTGACTCTCATTTGAATTTTTAGGTATACTTGATAGCAATTTATCTATGGAGTAAGGATGAGGATCACTAATTAGGAATAGAGATTGATCATAGAAAAGGAGAAAGCATCAGGCTGAGGTCCAGGTGAGCGTAAATGGCCAAGATTGTTCTTCTGGGCTGACTCCAGGCCCCAACTTAAAACCATTAACATTGACTTTGTCTATTCTGAGAAAAACTCTCTAACTTTTCGCATGGGAAACTAGAGACAGTAATGTGTACTGCATAACTTGATATAGAAATGAGTTAATTAATAGTCTGATAAAAGAAATATGAAGTATTTTCTTATTGAATATTTTTATCTTCAAGCATTTTCTAGTCTTAGGATGAATTTGTCTTTTTAAAAAAAATACATCTCTGCTACTCTTAAGATTCTTAAGTCATCTTTGTCAATTGAGCACAGTTGTGCAAAATTGTTAACTAATTTCTTTGATTTTTCTTAATTAAAGAAAAATTTGAGTAACATTAGTTAAGTTTGACGTGCTCCTTTGCAGGTTGATGACTCTGAAATACATTTATTTAGAAAAACAGAGTGGTAAGTATGAGTTTAGTATCTTTACTGTAGGTTTGAACTCAAACAAAGCTATAAGTCTCTCTCTCTCCTTTTTTTTTTTTTTTAAATTTGATACAGATCACAGACAATACCCATAATTTTATGTAAGAGAGGAGAGGAGTGGAGATTCCCCTCCCCTCCCCTCTTTCTTCCACCCCCTCCCTCCTCTCTCTCTTTCTCCCATATCTGTAGAGAGCTTACCTTCAGTTTTTGTGAGCAAGGTGTGATTAGAAAATGTTAGGTTTGAACCAAATAAAAATGCTAATAATTGGTAGCCTTTGACCTATGCAGACAATTCCATGTGACTCAACCTAGTATTAGAAGTTGCTTTTTTGTTTTTTGTTTTTAATCCTCTCCTGAGGACATTTTATTTTTCATTGCTTTTAAAGAAGGGGGAAGGGGGGGGGGAGGGAGAGAGAGAGAGGAGGAGGAGGAGGAGGAGGAGAGAAGCTTCAATATGAGCAGAAAAACTTCGATGCGAGCGAGAAACATCAATTGGGTGCCTTCTCCTGAGCACCCTGATGGGGGATCAAACCCAGAACCTGAGTATGTGCCCTGACTGGGAATCAAACCTACGACCTTTCAGATTGTGTTCCAACCAACAGAGCCACACCAGCTAGGGGTAGAGCAGCTTTTTTTGTCTTTATTTTTGAACAAACACATGAACCTAAATATACAGATGAATGTACTTTTATTTGTATATTTACAAATATATAAAATGGTTGTCCCTGGATATTGTGTATTTATTTCATCAGTATTGTTTGACATTTAATACCTAATTGTCTGCTGTTATGTTACATCTTGCACAGATTTGTCACTTCCCTCCGCTTGGTTGTGGGTTTCCTGAGAGGAAAACCAGCCCTGTACCTTGTACATTGTAGAAGTAATACTAATGAACATTTTGTTTAGCATTTGTTATGTGCCAGGCACCAAGCATTTTATATGTATTGACTCATTCACAGCCATCCTTTGAGGAGGGTACTGCTATTACCCATGTTTAACAGGTTGGTAACTGGCAAATGACATTAATAACTTACCCTGTGTTACACTGCTAGTGGCAGAGTCAAGATTCAAACTCAGCCTAGCTCCAAAGCTTACTACACTTACCACACGAGTCTGCCACACTATACGGCTTTTCACTTGGGAACACAAATGTTTCTGGACTATTCAGAGAAGTTCTCTGACATGTTGTACTAAAATGCCTTTATTTGGTTCTTTCATTTCTGAAACCCAGCATTCATCTATTCAACAAATAGTACCTATAATGGGTTAGGCACTATGTTTTATATTGCAATGATCTGTTTATTTGAATCACTCACCACACTAAGCCTCAAAGTGGTCAGAAATGAATGTAGAACTGAATATGAAACTGCCTACCTGCTAGGATTTTATGACTTAATGTGGGTAAAGAGACATAATTTTAAAATATAGGTAAGGAAACATAATTTTTATTAAGACATTAAAAAAAAAACAAACCCCAAAATACTGAAAGCAAAAAGGACTGATTTACTGATTGGGCTTATACAAACATGACATTTGAGTTGTTGTAAGTCTGATTGGGAGAAATGATGGGCTAGGGAAGCGTTCCGGGCATCAAGGACGTGTAAAGACTGAAGTGCGAGGAGCACCAAGGAAGGACATTTTTTGGTGCTAAAAGCTAAGTGACTGATGAAAGGTAAGGCTCGGGGGGGGGGGGGACAGTTGGGCCTTTGAATGCTCAGAATGCACTATTGGCTGTGGAATGACTTGTCAAAAACTAAAGACGCCCCCAATTCTTAATAAATTTGAGTAGGTTTTGACCCTACATGACCTGACCTCTTACATTTTTTCCTAAATGAACTGAATTTAAGAGAAAAAAGTCTGATACAGTGATGTGTATAGGAAATACTGTCTTATATCTCAAGACTTGGACTTGGCTTTCCTTTTATATACCAGATAATTCAGCAAATAAAAGTTGCTACCAGAGAAAGAATTTTTTTGTGTGTCGGCAGGACGTGGGGGGAGGGGCCTTCCCTGAAATACAAATAATTAATGTTAAAAAAGTGATCAGGAAGCAATTGTCAGACATGCTTATTCAAATTGGATGAGTTCTTGAATGAGCACACATTCTTTGTAGTCTTGCTAGAGTTTTCAAAGAATCAGGTCATAAATCAATAAAGTGCAAACTGAAAATCCTATTTCTGCCTGCATGATGAGTGATCCCTTGGCGACCGGCCTACAGAGTTCATTTCTGCTCACCAAACCAGGGACTCCCATACATGGCCTGTGATCAAAATTAACTGGGTGACTTTAAACACAGAGGTTCCCAGGACACACCCCAGAGTTTCTGCTTAGATTTAGGGAGAAGGCTGGGGATCAGAATGCTGAAAATCCTCTCCCCAGTGATTATAGTGATGACTAGGGTTTGCTTTTCCCTCCCCTAATCCAGTGACACACGGCAGGATCATTTGAGGAGCTCTCTCCAAAAAGGCCTGGGCCCAACCCAGCGGCCTTTCAATAACAGGTCGAGTGAGGACCAGACACACGTCTATACAACAAGCCTTCTGCGTGATCTGACAAACTCAGGTCAACTCTTGGAAGAAAACATCCCAGAATTTTTACCCAATAAGACAAAAGTAGATGACAGCAATGTGCAAAATTGTAATTTAGGATTTTCAGCAAATTCCACTGCCATTTCAATACAAGCATATTCTGATTATTTTTGTCAATGAGTACTCCGTATCTGCATCTCTTGACATACTATTCCACGGTAACTGTAGAGCCCAAGGACCTGGTCATTTCTAAAATTAAAAAATACTATTTTAACCAAACTCTTCCAAAAGGACAGAGAAGCAGAATTGTATATTGCAAAGAACATTAGTTTTTCTATGAGACTAGGTATGAATCGACTGCCACTTAACCAGCTGTGTGCCATGAATGAGTCAGCTAACCTCAGCCTCAGATTCCCTATCTGTAAAATGTGTATCTGTGAGGGTGGTTTTAAGGATTAAATGATAAAATGAGTATGAAGTTTGTGGCATATAGTAAAAGTTCAGTAACTGTGCCCTCAATATCAAAAAGTCCCAAACGGTGCCATGGATTATGTAATTCTAACGTAAGTAATGTGACCCAATTTATATTCTCTGATTTTACACTATGATCTTTCCGATTTCTAATATTTCTTTCACATTTCTATCATTTAGAAATACACACCTGAGTATTTTGAATACAGCTACTAAAAATCAGTTCTTTCCCCTCGCAATGCATCATCTCCACTGTGGCTTTTCTGCAACCGACAGCTCTTGCTCACTGGGGTAGAGTGAGGATTCCTCAAAACTTGCATGTTCCAAGAAAAAAATTTCCACTTTTTCACTTTGCCCTTGGGCAGAAGAATTCTTTAACGATGATCAGTTCCCAGATCATCCCTCCTCACAGATTTTTTTATGTCAGCCACACCTTGAGACAACTCAACCTCTTTCTTTACCCTAATGATCTATATTCATTTGGTTGTTAAGCAAACACTAGGTTGTCTTTCTGGGCTTGAGAGATTGATAGCATTCGACTGGGGACCCATTTGTGTTCCAAGAACAGTTTGAGAGTTGCCCTCTTGCCTGTATTTAAAAGAGATAAGCATAAAACTGTTGGGTTTTCTAATTATATAACTTGACTCCTAGAGCATTTCACATTC